GGGTCTTCCCGGGAGGCCGGCGGGCTGGGGGTGGCTGGGGAGGGGTCGGGCGGCCGCGGCGCTCGCAGTGGAGAGGGGTCTGCGGCGGCCGGGGCGGGGATCTGGGCGCGCGGCGCCGCCCGGCCGCCTCCGGTCGTCGGCGCCCTCCCCCTTGGCGGCGGTGGCGGCGGCGGGCGCGAGGGCGGAGCTCGGCGGCGGCTCGGAGGAGGCGGGAGGCGGCGGGAGGCGGCCCGCGGCACGCGCCCTCCCCGGCCTCCCCCACCATGGCGCGGAGCGAGGCGGCGGCGGCCGGGCCCGGGCCGGGCTGGGTGAGCGCAGTTCCAGAAGGAAGTTAGCATTCATTTTTTTTTTTTTCTTCTCAATGCTTAACATTTTTACATGAATGATCTATAATGATATATTTTTATTTGAATCTTTATAAATCTTTAAGTTTAAGGAAATTTACAGAATTTACACTAGTTTCCACTTACAATGCATTGTGGCGAGTTGACTTCTATCATATTGATCCACTCTATTTGAATGCTCTCAGTAAAGGAAGGCTCACTAGCCTCTTAATACATTCCTATTTGCCTTAACTTCCCTTCTCTTTTAACCTGAATAATTCTTTCAATATATTTTGTATGGCAGCTTATCATTCTGTCTTCTTCAACTTCTGCAGAGTAAACCTTTTCAGATTTTAGTCTAACACCGTATATGCCTCATTTTTAATACACTGTCACTTTGCCGTTTGAACATCAACTGATTATTTCTTTTATTTTCTTTCCAACTAATGTACAAGAATATGTGTAATCAAGAACAGTTTTTGGCAACTTATAAGGTGCTCAATAATGCTGTATGATAATCATTTTTATTGTGCACAGACTTAACATTGATAACTTTTCTGGTAGCCATTTCATAAACTTTATGCATGAAATATAAATAAAAAATAAGAAAGAATATAGATACACACTAAAACTTACAGTTATTTTTCACATCAGTGTAACAGACAGCTGGATTTTTGTCTTTTTTTTCTAAATAAGAACAATATGATAAATAAATTGTGAAATTCTTCATTTTTTTAATAATAAATACTCAATCAGAGTCCAAAACATAAACAGAAAACTGAAAAAGAAATTTTGTTGGACCTCTGCCCATAGAAATAAGAAAGGCCACAACAATACATCTCTGAAACCTGTTTCTTCAACAATATGAAAATAAAAATACTAAAACATCAAAACACGTGTTTAAAAAAAGACAAATAAGAAATATCTATGTGCTTAACATTATAAGAACAAACAAATACAACACTCTACAATAAAATAATGGTCAAAACACATCAAAAAACAGGAGAAATGTCATGACATAATTCAAAACCACGAAAAGGACCTGTCTCTCCTGATAGTCAATGTGCAAGTGCAACAATGCAACAGACCAAAGGCCTGGTTCTCCAAGAGGTTTACAATGCAAGTTGGTTCTCGATGAAATTCTTCTAAAGTACAAATACAAGGAATTATAAAAGCCTCAGGTAGACATTAAGAACTGGCTGGGTAATCAGACCTCCTGAAGACAAGGATCTAATGAACAATTAACCGAATGGTGCTTTCAATTTGCTCTGGCTGTCCATGACAAAATACCCACAGATTGGGTGGCTTAAGCTAACAGAAATTTCATATTTCTCACAGTTTCTGGGGCTAGAAATCCAAGATCAAGGTGTCGGACAGGTTTGATGTTCTTCTGAGGCCCTCTCTTCTTAGGCTTGTTGCCTGTCTTCTTCCCTGTGTCCTTACATGACGCTCTTCTCAGTGCCTGTTTCATCCCTTGTGGTTGTCCCTCCTACCTTATAAGGACATCAGTCCTATTTGGATCAGGGCCCCACCTTATATACTCAACTTAAACCTTTACCTCACTGTCTTTAATTTTTGACACTTCCCCTCCAAATGTAGTCCACATTCTAAAATACTAACAGTTTAGGACGTTAACATGTGAATTTGGGAGGAAACATAACCCAGTCCCACAACATGTGTTTCCATTTATTAGAATTACTTGGGAAGTGGTGATTGACAGGTATTTATCTGGATACTTAATGGAAAGGAAGTCTGTTTCCCCAATCATGCTTTATGTTCATAGGATACTTCTCAAGGCTACATGTGTCTATGTGAAACACCAGAGGAGTGAATAAACAAGTAAATGAGTGACCAATAAATTAATAGGTG